GAAGCAAGGCTCCGAGAAAAAACACTGCACTCTCTAGGTAAGTACAACAAGTTCAACACTCAAACATCCTTGAAATGTCTTTCTAAGGTGACAAAACCCCTACTTGTTCCCTCTGTGTATTCACTTCCTAACGCTGGATAGCCCTTCCTTGCCTAAGTAGCTCTGCCTGTGGGGAAAGCACTATTCCTGATGAGAACTGAAGGTATATTTTGAAAGCACAGCATAAAACCCAAGATGTTTCATGCTGTTTACTGTTTGAACTAACTTCAAGCGTTTTCATACAGTCAAGCAATTATTTAACCAATAATCAACATTTAACAGTGAATATCAAAATTAGATCTCTTGAAGGAGACACAGTGTTCTTGCTTCTAGCATTAACTTGCTTGTGCATTCAGCACTTTTTTTCCCCTGCTGTCATGTGACAGGCTATTTTTAATATTTGCCTGAATATATTTTGCATCTTCCTTTGATCCAGAAAGCAGTTTTGTGAGGCTTGTCTGCATATTGCACTTCCCTTGCCATGGCAGTCCCGAGCGAAGCTTTTCCATTTCACTGTGATTCGGCATCGGCTGGTAATGGCAGGAGCACACAGCCCTGCGTGCGTGCCTGCAGCTCTCGCAACAGCCATGCTGAGCAGGCTGCACAGGGGACTGCCACGTGCCTACAGCACATGGTCATGCAGGCAACAGCCACCCAGAGCCTCACGTGAGAGTCAATGTGAAGAGCAGCTCTCTGTACCAGCCTGCCTGATGGTTTAGCTGGTCATTCCCATGTTGTCACGTGGGAGACCAAAGGTCGGGAAATTCCCAGCTCCTCTTGGCACTGGAGGTAGAGTCCTTCGACTCTAAGAACGGGGGCTCGCACTGTCGCTCATGCAACACCTAGCAACTACTTGTAAACAATGATGAAAGCACAGGAGAGGATTCCACATAGAACCTGGCTGCTGGGAACACTGCCCTTTGCAGTACAAAGGCTGTGCTGGAGGAGGAGAGGGAGGAGGAGGGAGGTCACGTTAAGAAACACAAGGGAAGGAAGACTGCAATAAAGGGAGTGTTGCGCACACACCCTTTTGTGGGCTGCCCCCTTCACCAAGTCATCCCCAGCACGCAGCTGAGAGGCTGGATGGAGCAAGACCAAACCTCTCCCACTTGGCTGAAGTGCCCATTACAAACAAGAGTTAAATGTTGAAAACCACCCAATCACGCCTAGTGTCAATCACTACAGTTTGGCATCTATGTAAGAAGTAAAAGGTAACGGATACTGCGCTGTAGATAAAGTATCTTGGCTGAATAAATAAAACATGGCATGTAATAAAGTCTTTGTGTTCTTGGGGGGTGGAAGGGGCAAACACACTTTAAATGGAAACAGTTTTCAGCTTTGATTAAGGTACTCCTCAATATATATAACTTCTTTTGCTTTTAAACTGAAAGACTTTTAGATATTGCACATAGGTGTGCTTCTGCAGCCGATTACAAGGCTTTATTTCATTTTTATCTTTCCTTAAATAACCTTCAACAAATCGTTTGCAAGTAGTCTAAGGCACCCAGCCATTCAGGCAACACAGATTCAAAACCACTGTCATAGGGACACAAAGAACAAGCGAGTTTCTCCAAAGCCCACGTCAGCCCCATTCTCCTTAAGGAGCACGGCAGCAACGCCACACAGGTTATCACTGTGCCGGCAGCATCTCTGCGCTGCAGCCCTACATCCAGGGCTTTGGGGGCAAACAGAACATTCATACCTAAACCACAAAATCCCCAAACCCTTCTAATTAGGGTCTTCCACCAAACTCAAGATAATGCTTCTGAACTCAACTCACTGCCCCATTCACCCAAATAAGGGCTACACAGGGAAGTGAGCCAGGTAAAAGCAACCACCAACTAGTTACCTGCAAAATATGAATCTCCCTTTACATACAAACAGCTACAAATGCTACAAAATTCCTTACAGGGCTCTGCAGTTAAATAAAAGATTTACATTCCAGCAAATAAAAACCGGTCAAAGACAACACAAGGTGTGCAATAGATGAAGATCCATGAAAATGCATTTGCAGTAACAGGTTTGAAAGCCAGCCTTTATAAAAGCTGGTTTTGAGGGAGACTAGATTTCAACTGATGAACCAACATCCAACACAGAAGCTTTAAACGTGTCTACACATCACGTGGTGGTCTGCAATGCTAAAATATATCAAAATACTATTTATTAACAAAGTCGGGACTGTAAAAAAGAAATACCTCAGATTGGAATCTTGCAACACCCATTATGCTGTGTCCCTCCTCTTCAAAAGAGGCAAAAAAATCAGATTTGCTACATGTATGTCCTCTGAAGAGAAATTTATAGAAAAGCAGATGCTTGCTTTATTGTTTGCTATAGTCCAGAGAACAGATGATAAACTGGTGAACCTAACCATTTTTCCATTGACTAGCCAATCCAAGCCGGAAATACAGAATTAAGTTAAACTTATAACAAACCTTTTTGTTGATAGGTTTTGGGATTTGGGTTGTTTTTTTACCTTTAAGAAAAAAAAAAAAAAGCAGCAGTGAGGATTTTTGTATTGTCAGGTTTACAGCCAGGGTCAGCTCAGCTTTGCTGAGCCTGATGACACTTCTTAGTGAAAACCAATGCAGATTTCCCAGAGATGGCATAAAACACATATTTGGGCAATGCCATTAGCTTCTAAAGACAGATAAGGCTTGTATTTCAACACGCACACACACACTTAAATCTTCCAATGCCACTCTTCTATAGACCATCTATATCCGAGATATACCACGTACATACAAGAGCCACATTTGGTGTTCCATGTGCGTGTGTGCATCCTCCCCCGTACACAGTACATGCAGGTACAGGAGTTTTGACCCACTGCACGTGATACACTGACTCTATGTGCTGCAAAGCCAGCTAAAGTAAGCACATAAGCAGCACAGGATTTGACCCTTCAGCCAGAGTCCACACGCTCAAACAGGCTTCCATTGTAAGACAAAATTCAGAGGATACAACGATGAAATATTTTTAGGAGAACTGCTATCACCTACAACAAAATAAATCTCAGTTTTCCTACAAATAGGAAGATTGCATGGAATTAATGTTTATTGAAATCTTATGCTTTATACTATTTGTTCTTGGGTTTTATTACAGTAATACAAATCACAACAAGTATACTGGCACAGCAGCTCACACCAGTTAAAAAAAAGAACAGATCTTCTTCATGTGACAGTTTAAAAAGAAAGTATTTTTAAAGTCTTAAGATATATTAACCAAAGGGCTCCATTATAATTATTTTAACATCTACCTCCAGACTAACTTTCATGTTGCAAAGCAGCACACTGGCACTTTCACAACCACCTTAAATACTCATTTTGACTTTTCACTGTAACTTTTGACTTTTAAAATATATACTCTCTTACATTAAAACTTGCTCAACTCTAAGATTCTCTTCAAAACAGACTGCCAAAGAAAGATTTTTATACAACAGCACAAAGACTTCAACAACCTGATGAAAAAACAGGCTACTGTTAGTTTCCCCTGCAGTAAGTACTATGGCTTAGAACTTACTACAGGGGAAGTAGTTTAAGAAATGGAATGAGCTCCCTTTTAAAAACACATTTAACACAAAAGTTACATTATTCTTCAGTCAAGATGGCATGGGGAAAATAGACCTGAAAATTACGAGGTTTTATCTTGCCCTCAGAGACAGGACTTCTTTTACAGGAGTGAAGAAGTGCGCAGTTTCATGAGTCAAGTTGTAACCCTGAGCTGGAAACAGCTCAGGAAAAACTCCCCCCCAAAAAATCAATGAGTTGAAAAGTCACAGAGACAGCTGATTACAAACAAATTCTGACAGGTGATCATTAAAAGCCCAGCTTATAACCAGACTCCTTCGGAACAGAAAAAGAATGAGGCCAGATTATCTGCCAGGTAACGTTGTTTGTGCACATGCAACAGAAAACAGTATAGCATATATGCACTAAAGTGGCTCAGGAAAAACAAGGAGTTTTTTTATATCCTGCTCTTGCCAACTCCAAATAGATTTTAACTTTGGAAACCCGTATAAGTTATTAGTCAACTATGGAATGCCTCAAAACAAAACAAAGTCAAATCCACATGAAGTAAAAGTAAGTAAATGAAATCCACGACTAAACACACACTTCTGACTCGGGGCCAAGGAGGCTGCTGCCAGGTTTGGGGTGTTTTGGGGGGGTGTTTTATTTCTTTTGAATGAGAAAGGAATGTTACAGGCTTGTAAGACTTTTCTATTTCATCCTGCTCCACAACTTTTGTCCTTCTATTTATTTATTTTGCCTCCTTATCAGATGATTCTGACAATGACTTCGCACGCTGAGCATGGCAAACGATCAAGCAGAAGGGAGAGGAGTGGTTTCCTGCTGCCAAGAGCACACTTTGCTCTCGCAAACCTTGTGTGAGCAGAAGAGCACAATAATAAGTCACCCTTGGTCTTTAAAAGAAAAAAAGGCAAAGCTCCGTGTTTTCCAAACTTCAATGTTGACACTATTGCACTGACCATGATCTCAGCCATGCTGGTGTCAAGCCAGAGCAGTTATTCTGGATTCATACTAGTGGAAGCAATGTCTTTACGTTTTAACTTCAAAATAATCGCCCACTCCTATGTTCTCACATCGAGTACCGGCCAAAGGAATATTCTCCTTCTTGGTCCTTCTCCCTGTTCATTTAACATCATGGCATCTCTGCATTACTATTCCATCTGTGGTCTTTTTACATGTCAATAACTAGGCTACCAATGAAGAAAAGATAGGCAAGTTTCCTTGGAATTCCCACAGCTTCCTTACATAATTTAAACAAAAATCCCTATGGAGCAATTTAGCAATAACTACAGCTATTATTTTTATTCTTTGGAGTGCGAGTGACTTGAACCATATTGGCTCTAAGCTGCCTGTCAACCATACAGGGAGAAGTAATGATTTACACAGGGGAGGAGGACTCATGCCAAAATCCACTGGAAGTTCTTAGGGCTGATTTACCTGGTCTGACTGGGCTCTGCATGCAGTTCTGCGACACCATGCCTGGATGGACTGAAGTAGAAGCCCTGCTGCTGAGGTCCATGACTGAAGGTGACGCTGAGGTAGCTTGCTGGAGACCTGACTGGTGCGGGCTATGCTCGTGCTGGTTTGGGCTGGGTGGAATGCCATTTTCTGAGAGGAATTCTTCCAGGTCCATGTATTCCAACTGGAAAGTGTCTCCATCATATGGCAGTGTCTTGTCCCATAATGTTGGACCCAAGAAAGCCGACTGAGGGACTGTGGTACTGGTGCTGTCATCATCTAGCTTCTTCTCCTTGTCTTTTTCTTTACCAAATGCTTAAACAAAACATACAATAAAGATGTAAGAGCTCAGTAATTAAAATATTAGCTACTACTATTTCCATTATTTCTGCTGCACTCAGTTGTAAGAAACAAATACTTCCCTCATGAAAATAACCCCTTCGATTCACTCTATGTGGTAGAGAATCAAAGGCTCATGCCAGCTGAGCACCTCTGCTGGATCTAACTGCAAGATTTCTCCTCTATTTTTAGTTAACAGTTCCACTGCATACATGTTTGACTGTCAGCTTCAAACGCTCAGACTTAAAAGTGATTATTTAAGCAAAACAAACTGGAAACTATGGCTGCATTATGTTGAAAAGACAGTCTTAACCTAAAATCCCAGCAATTTATTATCCTGTCATGCTTCTAAATTAAGGTCCCAGTCTTGCTGCTCCTTACATGAGGAAAGCAGTCCTCAGATCCCGTACTTCTTGACATTACTTAGCACAGCAGTGAAGTCTGACAGAACATGTATTTTGATGTGCAGAAAAGTTAACAAAAAATTCAAAAGCAGAAGTGAGGAAAAAAAGTTAAAAATGATGCTTCCTGCTCATTCCTACAACATCCAGAGGTTTCAGTACACACTTCTGAAGCGAAACACTCACTTTCGCTACAAGACTTGCAAGATTCCGAACCAATAAAGCATCCTGTCAACTACCTTCATAACGTTTTCTTTTTAACCACATGCAACAACCCCGGTAAAATCCTGAGAACCGCTCTGCAGTGAAAGCCGGGAATACAACACGCCTTGGCTCGGGGAAATCTCTCATAGGTTTCTAGTTTGAACGCGCGTTTGATTCATCAGAAACACTGATAAATCTGCGCACCGCTTTAGCTCTCCCAGACAGTTGTAACTTCCCACCGTCCGGACACCTTCCCGTCGCACAGAAGGTTTCTGACCGGCGGGCACAACCAAGCAGCTGCTGGCCTCAGGGGCGGCTGCGGGGGTCCCTGTCGCCCCATTCTGCCCAGCATCGAGGCAAATCGCCCCCTTTCATTTGCTTTTCCAGGCAGCCGGAGCCTTCCCCTCGGCGGCAATGGGAAACCCGAACGCGGTGCGCTCGGGCGGGCAGGCTGCGCTCAGCGTCCCGACCGAAATCACCCGGCACTCCATCGCCTTGGGGAGCGGGGTCGGAGGGAAGGGAAAAGGGAAAGAGAGGCAGCGGGATGGGGCCGCCATTTCGGGGGCCGGGATGTGAGGGGGCCCGCTGACACCGCCGGCCCCGGGTGAGCGAGGGATTGCCGGGGAAGCCTCACCGTCTTCGTGAGCGAGCGGGAGCTTGAGCGGGTTCTCCAGCAGCGACTTCAGCACGCCGTAGGTGGGAGGTAGGAAAGTCGGGTTCAGCGGGAGCGGCCGCGACATGGTGAGCGCTCCGCCGGGGCAGCTGCGCGGTCAACGGTTCCTTCCCCTTGCCTCTCGCCACGCCGCTAACGCAGCGGGGTGCAACGGGCGCCCGAGCCGAGCCGAGCCGAGCCGAGCCGAGCCGAGGAGCGAGAAGGGCCCCTCGGCCGCGCACCTCCAACACCACCACTCCCGCCGCCCGCTCTGCACCGCGCGCACCGGCCGCGCGCCCATGTGCAGGCGCTACCGGCGCTGACGTCAGGCGCGGCGCGGCACCGCCATTGGCGCTGGGGGGGAGCGGCGGTTGGCCACGCCCCCCCCTCCGCCGAGCCACGCCCCGCTCTCCCCGCAGCACGCGCGGCGGCCGTTCTCCCGCGGCGGGGGCAATGGAGGGGAGCGGTGCGCGGGGGTCGGGGAGCGAGGCCTTGTGTGTCCCGCCCTCGCCCCGCCCCGCTGCGCGCGGACCCGTGTCCATAGCCGGGAGCAGTGTCCATGATCCCGCTGTTTGACCTCGCCCGGTCCATCCGAGCGGGAGGGCAGCGGGGCGGGCACCCCCCCCGCCGCCGCTATCTGCGGACCCGGGTCGTGCCCGGAGCAGGGCGGGCTGAGGGCGAGAGCGGGGCTGCAGCGGCGGGGCGGTTCATCCATTCCTGGGGGAACCGGTTACCGGGCCTGTGAGCATTCCCTGTGGGAGCCACAATGACGTTCCCAAAGCAGATCGCTTCTGTCACCGGTTACCAAGACAAACCGGGGGGAGATAACAATTGCCCCTCACAGGGTCCCGCTGTCTCATCGCAAACTGTATAGGAAGGAGCTTCCCTCTCCTCCAAGGTCCTCGCTGCGAGCTGGGCTGGCTTCATCCCCTCAGTCCTTAAGCCACCGTGTCAGGAGCAGAGCCCTGTTCATGGGCTGCTCAAGAGCCGCAGTCCTGCCACTCGTCAGTGCCTGCAAGCGTTTGTATCTCCATCCTTCTCAGCTCTGCTTTTTGGGTGGCGTTTTGCAAAGCTTTACTGCCCGTATTTAGTTGTTAAGCTTTTTTCAAAAGTCATTTCTTTACCAATAGCAAATATAAACAAATACACACTGTAAGGAAATAAAGGTAAATTAAGTGCATAAACATCTAGCTGGAGAGCCCAGTATTTAGAAATAAAAGCAGCCTGAGGAGCAGAAGTCTACCTTGGAATGAGCTGCTCTCCCCACATACCTGTCTATGATAACGTGCACTGAATAGGGTCTAGCCAAACAATCCAACTAAACCAAGTAACTAATGAAAGTCCGAAGTACATTCAGATCAATAAAATTGTACTGGCACAACCGAAATCTGAGGACAGGCAGCTGGAATTGCCAGGCTCTGAGAATTGGAGATAGTGTAGTACGAACATGGTGATGGACAACTGAGCAGCGCCTGTGGGAGAACCTCCAAGGCCACAGTCAGTGGCTGGAGAGGTTGGGAGCAGGAATGTCACAGTAGCAGCATGATAGTTTTAAAATCACCTAACCAGAAACAAGCAGTGGATTACTAAATGATTGTACACATACCAACGTTGCCTCAGACGGCCAAATTGCTAGTTACTGGAAACCTTTAATTGCAGGGGTGCACAGTGAGTGACAGAAAGATTAGGGCAACTGGCAATCCATATGCAGATGTTATACAGAATGTTTTTTCTATGCAGTATAAAGGAAAAAAATATATCCAAACAATACATGTAAGAGATTAGGTAAGCAACAATGAAGAGTGAATAATAGAACAGAAGATGTTTACACTACTCTTGTGAGACCTCACCTGCAGTCCTGCGTTCAGCTCTGGGGCACCCAACACAAGAGGGACTTGGAGCTGTCGGAGCAAGCCCAGAGGAGGCCACGGAGATATTCTGAGGGCTGGCACACCTCTGCTATGGAGCCAGGCTGAGAGAGCTGGGCTGGTTCAGTCTGGAAAAGAGAAGGCTCTGGAAGACCTTCGAGCAGCTCACAGTGCCTAAAGAGGCTACAAGAAACCTGGAGAGGGCCTTTGGACAAGGAAGCTTTTCACCTGTGAGGGTGCTGAGGCGGTGGCACAGGGTGCCCAGAGGAGCTGTGGCTGCCTCATCCCTGGCAGTGTTCAACGCCAGGTTGGATGGAGCTTGGAGCAAGCTGCTCTAGTGGAAGGTGTCGCTGCCTGTGGCAGGGGTTTGGAACTGGATGAGCTTTAAGGTCCCTTCCAACCCAAACCTGTCTGGGATTCTATGATTCTATTATTCTATGACAGGTAAAAGCTATGGGGATATTGGGAAACACCAATAACAAACATGGTTAGAGATGTGATGAGAGCTCAGCCTGAGCATAACTATTTATTATTTTATGGTTATTGACCACTACAGTCAAAATACACTCGACAGCTGCATTTTCAACTCAACAGAATGACAATAAAACTGCACTGTGTTACCACTTGACATTGAGTAGGCTAAATTATGTGTAGATCTGTGCAAGCACGGAGCACAGTGAAGCAGCCTGCATACAGTTACAGACCTTGCACTCCCAACACCCAGAAGCTTGGAATTTTCTGGGCGAGAACATTGGAACAGCCCTTCCGGATATCAGACCAGCCAGAAACGCTAAGCAATGTACCCGAGCAGGGTGCTGGAGCTGTTGTTGTCAGTCTCACACTACAACTGGAGCAGTAATTTAAGCCCAGCCTTGCCACACAGGCAGGTCTCATACCAAGGTGCCTAAACTGCCAGGACACTGTGTTCTTTCTGAACACATGTGTCACATGTACCTGTGAGTTACCCAGATATGCTGGCTACGCCTCTCCAAAGGTGGTCCCCCAGTTAAGAAAGATGTTTAATGTTTCTGTTGTTTTCATCACAGAAATATGACCAGTTATATGCCCAAAGATCCCGTGGGGTCCTTTTCAAAGTAAGTACATTTAGGCTAATGTTCTGTTTTCTAAGAACAGCTTTTTTTAAATGCAATTCTTTATCAAATACAGCTGGGGGTACCTTATCACTCTCTACAGGTACCTGAAAGGAGGTTGTAGAGAGGTGAGGTCAGTCTCTTCTCCCAAGTAACAAGCAATAGGACAAGAGGAAATGGCCTCAAGCTGTGTCAGGGGAGGTTTAGATTGGGTATTAGAAGCAATTCCTTCTCCAGAGGGTGCTCAGGCATTGGAACAGGTTGCTCGGGGCAGTGCTGGAGTCACCATCCCTGCAAGTGCTCACACACCGTGTAGAAGAGGCCCTCAGTGCCGTGGGTTAGTGGTGGCCTTGGCAGTGCTGTGATAAAGGTCAGACTTGATGATCTTAAAGCTCTTTTCCACCCTAGCTGATTCCATGATTTGGGAAGACAATCTGAACAGCCTTTACACGTTAAAGGGTTCTTTCCACCCGAAAGACAAGCAGATCAGGTCAGGCACGGGTCACAGCACAAGCCCGTGGCCGCGCAGACCTGTTGACACCCGGTTACCGCAACCCTGCCGCTGACCGGAGCGCTCCGACACCAACCGACACCCGCACGGCAGCCGCTGCTCCGCTCCGGGTGCCCACCGCGGGGCCATCCCGCCCCCACCGCCGGGCCGCGGGGCGGGAGCAGCGGCGGGACGGGGCGGGCACCAGCGGGCCCCGCTGTCACGCGGAGGCGCGCGAGGGCCGTCACGTGAGCGCGCGGGCTGACCTACTTTGGGCCAATGGCGGAGGCCAGCGCGGTCGCGCGCTCCCCCGCACCGCCCCCGCGCGCGTCCCGCAGTGGCGGGAGGCCCCGCGGTGACGTCCCGGTATCGAGCGCCGCCGCCGCCGCCTTGTCCCGGGTTCACCCCGGGCCGCCCGCCCGGGGCCTGCGCCGCGGGCAGCGCTTGGCGGTGACCCCGGCACCCGAGAGTGCGTTGCGGTGGGAGCGCCCCACGGGGCCGCCCCCGAGCGGTGCGGGCCGCGGAGCCGCTGTCCCGCTCGTGTGGCACCCCCGGACCGTGTCAAATCCCGGCTCTCCAGCGGGAGGGAGGACGGGGGTGGCTGCGGATGGGGTAGCTGCTCGCGGTTGCGTATCCCTTAGCAGAGCATCCAATAGTCCCGTTCTTCAGTCTGCCCTTACCCAGGCTTTTCAAACTGAAGTACATTTTTTCCCAAATGAAGTAATTTTAAGCATGTTTTACAATAAAGGTTCTGCTTGTTGAAAGTAAAAGAGTTAACAACAACTGTGGCATGCCCACGGTGTTGCTGCAGCTCCCATTCTCTAACCTGTTGTGTTTCCATACCTTGCACTGGCAATTGGGAATTCTGCGCCAAAATACCTTTTGTAAACAATTTATTGTATCGTAAACAAGACTGCAGCTTTTGTTCCCTATGCAGAAAGCTTTAGTGAAAGTTTTCTTCAAGGATCTATTCAACCAGTGTCTTCCAGGGGACCTACCTGTATTTTCTCCATAAACATGAATAAAAGCGGGCCAGGAAGGCTGTGCAATAGTCATGGCTCACCCTAAATATTGATACAGATAGAGGGAAAGATACCTGCTCTGGTGCTGTAAAACAGGTATATCATAGGCACCTTATAATCTGCAGCTTATGTGTATTTATAGATTGGTCTGAAGAATCCAGTCCCTTTTCCTGATCATGTCATTTGCCTCTGGGTTAAAAAGGAGCCAACACTGTACATGCAGTTTGAGAAATCCCTCAAACTTGAGCAAAGCTTCCTCTGATCAGGTATTCACATGGATACAGCTGGACTGCCAATGCCAATTCCTCTGTTAAGTGCTTTCTTTTAAGTATGTTCTGTCTGGAGAAAAGAGCTGCAGAAGTAGGGGGATGAAAACAAGCAACAAGGTGAAGAGGATAAATAATGCAGGAGAACAAGCTTTTGGGTCAAGGCACAGGACACATGGGAAAAGCAAATGGTTTACAGGACCTTAAATACCGCCTGGTTTACTGACAGATCCTCATCTCAGCCCTTTGGGAGACAAAAGATGAAAGGATTGAGTGAGATGCACAGAAAAAACAGAGAAGAGAATTTGAAGAGGCTCAAGATTCAGCCTTCTTTTTAGTTCAGATTTGTCCTGAAACAGAGAACCGTTCCCAGATTGGCCTCAGACAGCGGGACATTTCCAGCTGCATTATGTGACGCATAACTCAGAGGTACATAAAAGCCACACGAGTACGATCAGATACCCACACCCTACCCGGAGCTGGAAAACAGCAGCTTTTGAAGAGAAGGTCGAGGAGCCCCGCGAGCAAAGCCTGTCCCCTGCTTCCCTCACCATCGTGGAGGTGCTGGAATT